AACATGTTTGACATGCCAATGGGAAATAAGAGAAGGTTAGAGCATAGTAGGTACTCTATGTAGAATGTGTCTGTTCTTTGAGGCAGGTCTTACTCTGTCACTCAGGCTGAAGTGCAGTAGCACAATCTTGGCTCACTGCAGCCTTGACCTCCCAGGCTCAGGCAATCCTCCCGCCTCAGACGCCCAAGTAGCTGGGACCACAGGCATGTGCCACCATGCCCGGCTAATTTTTCATACTTTTTGTAGAGATGGGGTTTTGCTATGTTTCCCAGGCTGGTCTCAAACTCCTGGGCTCAAGCAGTCTGTCCACCTTGGCCTCCCAGAGTGCTGGGATTATAAATATGAGCTACCGTGCCCAGCCAGTAAGTATGTCTTGAGTGATCTAGCAGTCCTACTTCTAGGTATATATCCCAAAGAAAGAAAATCAATATACCAAAGAGATATCCACACTCCCATGTTTATTTCAGCACTATGCACAATAGCCAAGATTTGGAAGCAACCTAAGTGTCCATCAACAAGATGAATAGATAAGAAAATGTAGTCTATAAATACATTCAACAATAAAAGAGAATGAGATCCTGTCATTTGCAATAACATGAATTGAATTGAAGGTCACTATGTAAGTGAAATAAGCTAGGCACAGAAAGATAACTTCTGTATGTTGTCACTTATTTGTGGGAGCTAAAATTAAAACAATTGAACTCATGGAGACCAAGAGTAGAAGAATGGTTACCACAGGCTGGGAAAGGTAGTAGAGGGGAGTGAGCGAGGAAGTGGGGGTAGTTAATGGGTACATATAATATTTAGAAAAAATGTAAGATCTAGTATTTGATAGCGCAACAGAGTGACTGCAGTCAATAATTTAATTGTACATTTAAAAATAACAAAAGGAATGTAATTGGATTGTTTTTAATACAACAGATAAATGCTTGAGATGATGGATACCTTATTTACTCGGATGTGATTGCCATTGTAGGCCTGTACCAAAATATACCTTATATCCCATATAGATATACACCTACTATGTATCCACAAAAATTAAAACTAAAAATTCAAATAAACAAATGAGTGAAAGAAAGAATGAATGAATGAATGAATGAATGAGGGAGTGATGGCAGAAACCTAAATAATGGGAAATTGGATAAAAATAGAAACAGAAAGATAAGTAGAAAAAGGATAAACACACAGAAGATTTAGAAAAGAAGCAGAAACAGAGGGAGGGAAGAGGGAAAAGAGACCCAAGGCTAATTAAATAATTCTCAATTAGCAAGTCAGGTTTTACTATAGACTTGAACCTTATAATTTAACAAGAAAGAAGCAGCTGGGTAAGAAGAGCTAGACTTTGAAAAAAGATCTGGATTCTGATATCCACTCAGCTGCTTAGACAAGTGACTCACTCTCTGAGCTCACTGCTTAAAAATTTTTTTATTTTGAAGTAATTTTAGATTTACAGAAAAGTAGCAAAAGACAGTACAGAGAGTTCTTGTACACCCTTCACCCAGCTTCCTCTAATGTTAGCATCTTTCATAATCACAGCACAATAGTGAAAATCAGGAAATTAACATTGATACAATTATACTAACTAAACTATAGGCCTCAGAGTTTCTCCAGTTTTTCCATTAATGTCTTTTTCTGGTCCAGGATCCACTAGGATCCCACACTGCATTTAATTGTCATGTCTCTTGGTCTCCTCTAGTCTTTGAAAGGTCCTCAATTTTTTCTTACCTTTTATAACCTTGATACTTTTGAAGAGTAGAATGTCCTTTGATTTCGATTTGTCTGATATTTTTTTCATTACTAGATTTATGTCGTGCATTTTTGGCAAGAACACCATAGAGATAAGTCCTGCCTTTCTCAGGGCATCATATCTGGAGGTGTATGTTGATACATCTCATTACTGATCATGTTAGCCTTGATCACTTGGTCAAGCCAGTGTCTACCAGGTTTTGTCATTGCTCTATTTTCCCTTTGCATTGATAAACATCTTGTGGAGAGATGCTTTGAGACTATTTTCAAGTATCTTATTTCTCATCAAAGTTACTTTTGCCCAATAATTTTAGAATTCATCAGTGGTCCTTGCCTGCCACAGTTATTACTGTACTGTTCTAATGATGATTTTCTATTTTTCTCATTCTTTCTACATTTATTAGTTGAAAATTTTCTATAAATAAGTGCTGTCCCTACTCCTCATCCACACCACACTGATTTATTTACATTGATATGAACTCAAGAATATTTACTTTACTCTATGGGCCATAATTCTGCACTATCATTATTTATTTTGTTACCTAAGCTTCACTTTCTTCATCTGCAAGACAGGGATAATGACAACTGTCATAAGAATTGAATGAGATTTTTAAAAATGTGAAAATGTAATGTCTAGTCCAGAGCATCTATTAAATAAATGCAAACTCCATTTCTTCCTTTTTTTTTACAGTGTGTAAAGCCATGCTAATTTGAAGGCAAGGCCATTAGAAATAGGTGAAAATCTGAATTTGAAAATTCTCTTTTGATGTCATGAAACTTTTTAAGATATACAAAGAACTAGAATTTAGCTATTCCAGTCTTGTCTAGTAGAGGTCATTTGGGATCCTGACTATATGAGACTGATTTTTAATCAGTATACCCATAATTTGTATGAAAATAGATGCTTGAGAATACTTGAAACAGACTGTTCTCTTAAGTAGCTTAAGTGTTTTCCCAGAAATCTTGTTTACGTTCTGAAGTTGCTTAGCTAAACTATTTTCAGAGACAGTCCAAAGCCTGCCTCTACCCAGCTGTAGGTCATATCATCACTAACTCTGAATTAGTGAAATCACTGACTCCCAAGGTTATGGAAGTGAATGGAAGAAATCCAAGTTTAATTTAAAATTAGATTTTAAAAGTTTTGGCAATTCACTTTTAAATTCAGGTGGAAATTTAAAAATAAAAAAAAGATAAGATAGAGTCCTAAGGATGTGAGAGTGGGTAGATCTGGACGTTTAAAATAATTCATGAAATACAGTGAAATCCACTAATAAAATCACTCAGTTTACTGGAACTTTCATTTTTCCATCCATTTTTATCAGTAAGGAAAATCAAGAACATCAGGAGATTTATTTTTAAAAACAACTTTGGGGCAGTGAGGTTTGCAAGCTCTCATGTGGACTCCCAGAGGTTCTGTCTTATTCAGTTTGGAGTGGGGCTGGGAATCTGCAGTTTTAGCAAACACCACCCCCCAGTGCAATCCTGCTGCAGGTGGGAAGCAGCATCCTATAGTGGTTCAAAGCCCAGGCTCCAGGGCCTGACTATATGGGCTTAAACCAAAATCGCCACCTACCACTTGTGTAATCTTGGGAAAATAACTTCATCTTCACCTACCTCAGTTTCCCATTAATTAGGAAATTAACTCCGCTGATAAGATGGGGCTAATTACATGACAATGTCTGTCTCCCAAGGTTGTTGTAAGGAGCAAGTAAGTGGTACACATAAAATAACACAACAGTGCCAGATGGACTGGTGTTCAGGGCATATCTGGGCACAGAATCACTTGAGCTCAGCCTCTAACATTTGCTGCATTCACTGGGCCTTATCAGGTCACTGACATTTACAACCGTCATCAGGATTTGGATTGGCAAGCTATGGAGGCTGCAAAGTGAGCTCCAGTTAGAAAGTGTTTTGTGTTTTTTTCTAGAGATGGTGTCTCACTCTGTCACCCAGGCTGGAGTACAATGACATGATCCTAGCTCACTGAAGCCTCTAAACTTCTGGGCTAAGGGATCATCTGTTCTCAGCATCCACAGAGACTACAGGCGTGCACCACCATGCCCAGCTAATTTTTAAATTTGTACAGACAAGGGCTTGCTGTTTTGCCTAGGCTGGTCTTGAACTCCCGGCCTCAATCGATCCTCCTGCCTCATCCTCCTAAAGTACTGGGATTACAGGTATGAGCCACCGCACCTGGCCAGAAAGTGTTTAAGTAACAAAGACTGACAGATATTCAGTGAATTAGAGATGTATATGATTCAGAATAGGAATATCCTGTTAGCATTTAGGTAGAGTTTATTAAATTACCAAAATAGAAAACTATTGTATCTGTGTTCAGCCAACTAACAACCAACAAACATATCAATTAATATTTTGTGATTTAATATTCAAAACAAAAGAAATTAAGTCTAAAACATAAAATGTAGTATAGAAAAGTCAGGGTGTGGCTCACATTACTAAGAGAAAGTGCCTTTTAAGCCCAAGAGGGCAGTCAGCCCTGACCCCAGCACTGCATGGAGACTCCCTGCTCCTTCCTGCCACTCCTCCCTGCCCCAGGGCCACAGGGATGACAGACAGTGGCTCTTTATCTCCCAGTGAGTCCCTAGACCCCCACACAATGGCTTTGCCCTAAGTATTCCTAGACTCCAGTCACACCTGTGTTTTTTTCAGAACAGCTTCTGATGTGGTCTCAGAGGCTTTGGAGTGACTTTCTGGGACTGAGGATCTTCATGGGATGCAGAGAGAGAACCGAGGTGATTCACTACCCCTCAATGAATCGCCCCATGGTTCCCGCCTGCTCTGCTGACCCAGGTGTTTCTGCTGAGGGAGTCCTGATAATGGGAGCCGGTGAGGGGGTTGGTTATACGAATGCAGTCAGGGTTCATGCTGTCAAAACTCAAAATTGAGGCATGTGGTTTTAAAAGCATCTGTGGGAATGAGGGTTTGGTGGGGGAGAAGAAGGGGCTGGGCATTGGCATTCTGGGTGCCCAAAGGGACTAGGATGGGTGGACTGGGTAATGCTATGGAATGGAGGTGAAATTAATTAGGCTTAAGGGCAAGTTGGGGTAGAGTGAGAGGAAGGATTGCAATGTGATATCTGTCTCCTTGCCGGGAAAGAAAACAGCCATCATGCAAATGGCAAGACAGAGTGGCAATGAGATACGTCAGGAACAGACAAACCTAGAAGGGGAAGGATGCTTGAAAATCACTTATGGGCGAGTCAGATACCAAGACATCCAAAAGTGGCTTCTTACCTCATTAAACCTCACCACCAGATCTTCAAGGGCGTTGTGCTCTCCATTCTGAGTGCTAAGAATCGATGCTGAGATGGAGGCTTTGAGGCAGGGCAGGGACCTCTGGCATTCGGGAGTGCCCAAGTCCCGCGTTAAGAAGCAGAGGTAGTCGACTGGCAAAACCCTGCGGTAAATACTCTGCTCCTGCTCCATCAGGATGCTGGCGACTTCCTCTGGGAACTGGATGAGAGGCTGCAGATCAATCAGCTCCTTGCTGATCCCAGCTGAACTTGAAGGGAGGGCATTAGAATTGGCCACAGAGGGGCCTGGCTGGCGTTCTGAAACAAAGCAACAAAAGTCATGGTTACACCAAAGCTGGTATCCCCTCCAACAGATACTTGAGAGCCATTCCAAGTCTTGTACGTTCTTTAACCAAATCCTCTGCTTAGTGAAGAGTTCTGTACTATTTTTCTTGTTACAAAGAACTTTCTGATATCTGTCCTGTCTGTCCTCCAGTTACCGACTGAGGAGGGGGTGGAATGGCGGTGGTGGTGGTAGGGTTCGTTTTCCATTTCCAGAAGCAGCATTAATCCAGCACATCATTACCCAACCACTTTACTATGATACTTTGTAAAATATCGTTTGATTCCTTATACTCCTTTGCTAACTAACCGTCAGAGTGACACAAAATGAGGATGGGTATAGGCACAGCCAAGTGAAATGGAAGAGAAACGAAGGCGGTGGGGTGAGGAATACGTACATGCATATTATGTGTAAACTGGCAGGACACCTGGGGACAGGGACCCACTGCACACAAGGTTTCAAAATGTCGTGGTATTCTTTGCCAACCCTTTACCGCCAAAGATTGACTGATTTCATTGAGATCTATTTGGGGATTTGCAAGAACAGAACCCTCTACAAACATAAGAAAGAAATAGGTAATAAGGAGATGTATCTCAGTAAATAAATCTTACTCTCTGGCCCATAATTGGTAGCAAGAAGGTGACAGGGATGCAGTAGAGAAGGTGGCAGTGCAGGAGATAGAAGTACCAGAGTGGGGGATGCCTAGGCTCACAATGATTCCCATAATTGGAGACACCATACTTGCCTCTCTTTATTTTGACACCCTCCCAGGCTGCCTCTTAACTTACCTGTAACTCATTCATTCAACAAGCTGAAAGTCTATGATGAGCCCTAGAACAGAGTTTTCCAAAGTATGATCTCTGGAATGCTGGTATTTGCAAGAAAAAAGTTTTGTGGTCACCTGAGTTGAGGAAATGTCACATATTCATGTTACCCATTCTCTTCCTGGAAATACCTGTCATCCAGCCTGGACACTGGGTAACAGCAAAGTTCATAAGGATGACTTCCTTCATATTCAGACCTCAGTATTCCCTGACTCTTTTCTAAATCTCCATTGAAGAAACCTGGAATTATCCCTTCAAACTACTTCATTTCTGTATTATTAAACTCTGAAGTCATCATCCCTGAATTTGACTTCTGTCTTCCCTTCTATTCTAATAAAACTTCTCTGTCCTCAGCAAACTTCCAGTTCCTTGGCCTTGGTCTGCTGCCATGATAAGCATTTTATAAGCTACTCACCAGCCAGAGATTCCCTAAGAAGACAGCTTGACTTTCCACCACAGGCACGTCCCAGTCCCCAATTCTGGGCAGACTCAAACCATCCATGACTTGGCTTCTGGGCTGCTGTATGATGACACTGACAAGTATGCTATATAGTGATGGGGCTGTCAGCTAGGCCCTCAGGGTGGCTCGAACTTGACACAAACTTACTTACTTTTTTCCTAAACAGCTCACTATCCTCTTTTCTATTCTTGTCACACTCCCAGACCTGCATTTGCTTTCTTCACAGTCATTCGACTGTTTCTTAACTATGCGGAGACAGTTAAGATCATGTCAGAAACTCCTTCAGTTCGGATGCCTTATATTTCTTCAATCTTCTCTTTCTCTGAGAATGGCATGTGTTTCCTCCTCTCCAAGGCCACCCAGGTTAGTGGTTAAATCTGCCTTTGTCTCCTCCAGAACTTGCTTCAGTGGTTATTTCCACCTTTAGTCCCTTACTTTCTACTGACTTCTTTGCATACCCAAATGTTGTTTCCTTTTTCCTTAAAAACAAATGAATAGGACATCCCTTATCCTTTAAACCCCAAATCTTCTCTGTCCTTCCCTTCACTATGTACCTTCACCAGGTAGTCCACAGACCCTGATTGCTTCTTCCATGAGTATGGTGACTATATCTTCTGATAAAAAAATCAGGCCATGTTGTCTATCCAAATTAATAAACCAATGAGGACATGGTACAGAAAAATGGAAGCTAAGTTGGTCCTGGTCAACTCTAAGCATTTTAATGCATCTTTTGAACCAAATTACCAAAAATCTTGTGTAGCCAAAAATGGAGACTGTCAAATTATATTTGTTTCTATCTAAACTCATATTAAAAAATAAAATAAAATTAGGTTGATGCTTAAATCTACCCTACAAGGCATCCCTCTCCAACTTTCTGAATAGTTTAGAAAGTGACTAAATTTCCTGAAAATTGAATCCGAATGTGGCTTGATGAAAGAGGCCAATTGAAATTTCTAGATACTGATAATTTATGTACAGTGGAATTAGCCAAATATAGGAATTCTTCTCAGAAGTAACCAACTCTAAGACATGATCTCAAACTACAGCACTCTGCAGAGAAAATAAAAGTAACTCCAGCCACTTCTCTAATATATAAGAGAAAAGATAATGTAATACAATATGAAAATAATGTAAGGTAAGATCTCACATTTGAAACTCCAATATATTTTGAGATATGGATCACATATGGAGTTACAATGAAAAGTCTAGTAACTGGTGGGAAACAGCAATAAGAGAGGCCCGAATAAAGAATAGAAAGTAACCTGGTCAGTGTAACCCTAATAAATCTGGTGGCCCCAATATAAGCATGTATCTCAGTATAAGCATGGCATCACACTAAATAAAAAACCACACACAAATTAAATGCTAGAAGTTTTGAAACAATGTCAACCTTTCATGTAGGTTTATTTAAAGCTGGATTACTCAGGGATTTCATATCATGTACCACCAAAAACATCTGAGAAGTCTTCTTGGGACATAATTCTCTGTCCCCTAAGTTCCATACTTTTAGCAGCTGTTAAAAACACTTCCCACTTTCCCTCATCCATGTTAAACTCTCCTTATTATCTCCTCTTTTCTCTTCATATGACACATTGTCCCAGTACTCAGCTGTAACTCACCTCTGGATTTGCTCTCTACAACATGGGCCATTGGAAGATGGATTAAAAACTGAGTAGTTCTAGGACCCCTGGTCCTTCCCTATCATCCATGAAGCAAAGGTGAATAAAATTGTCCACCTCATTGTTTGCTCGCAGTCCCATATTCTTCGGCTAATAGTTATTCTAGGCTGGGCACTGTGGCTCACACTTGTAATCCCAGGACTTTGGGAGGCCGAAGCAGGCAGATCACTTGAGGCCAGGAGTTCAAGACCAGCCTGGCCAACATGGTGAAACCCTGTATCTACTAAAAATGCAAAAAAATAGCTGGGAGTGGTGGCAGGAACCTGTATTCCCAACTACTCAGGAGACCGAGGCAGGAGAATCACTTGAACCTGGGAGGCGGTGGTTGCAGTGAGCCGAGATCATACCATTGCATTCCAGCCTGGGCAACAAGAGTGAAACTCCATCTCAAAGAAAAAAAAAAGTTATTTAATGGCAGAGTAAGGCTGTATTAGTCCATTTTCACATTGCTAGAAAGAACTACCTGAGACAGTAACTTATAAAGGAAAGAGGTTTAATTGACTCACAGTTCTGCATGGCTGGGGAGGCCTCAGGAAACTTACAGTCATGGCAGAAGGTGAAGGGGAAGCAAGGCACATCTTACAGGAAGGAGAGAGGGAGAGAGAAAGAGAGAGAGTGGGGAGAAGTGCCACAGTTTAAAACCATCAGCTCTTGTGAGAACTCACTCACTATCACAAGAATAGCAAGGGAGAAATCTGCCAACATGATCCAATCGTCTCCCACCAGAGCCCTCTTCTGACAAGTGGGGATTACAATTTGAGATGAGATTTGGGTGGACACAAGAGCCAAACCACACTGTAAGGGAAAAATCTGCCCCCATGAGCTAATCATCTTCCACCAGGCTGTTCTTCTGATAAGTGGGGATTATAATTTGAGATGAGATTTGGGTGGGGACAAGAGCCAAACCATATTGTAGGCTATATCTTTAGATACTGTCACAGCCTAGAAATATTTACCATGAGACCTAGTAACTTCACATTCTGATTCTCTGCTCAAATAAAAGTTTCCTGTTCTAAGTGCTTTATATGGATTAATTCAGGATGTAGATAGTATTATCGTGCATATTTTATTCATAAGAGAGGTAAGGGCCAGGTGCGGGGCTCGCACCTGTAATCCCAGCACATTGGGAGGCCGAGGAGGGTGGATCACAAGGTCAAGAGATTGAGACCATCCTGGCCAATGTGGTGAAACCCTGTCTCTACTAAAAATACAAAAAATTATCCGGGCGTGGTGGTGAATGCCTGTAATCCCAGCTATTCCGGAGGCTGAGGCAGGAGAATCACTTGAATCTGAGAGGCAGAGGCTGCAGTGAGCCGAGAATGTGCCATTGCACTCCAGGCTGGGCAGTAAGAACAAAACTCTGCTTCAAAAAAAGAGAGAGAGAGAGAGGGAGAGAGAGCTAAGGCTCACATAAGATCATATAAGTAGTAAGTCAGAGAGCTGGGATTTGAGCAGGATCTATTTGACTCCAGAGCATGTTCCTGATCACTCAGGATATTGCCACATTGGCATTCTAGTTTATAGATGCATCTCAAGTGATTTAATTTAGAATAAATCAATTACTGTGCTAGTTTACTTGGAGTGATCTGATAAAATAACGTCTTCAAACTCCAAAGATAAGGATTTGACCAAGAGGGTAAACAGTTTCTTCCTTGGTCAGCCTGGAACCGTCACTTCAACCCCTATAACTATGTGATAACGTAGCACACAGAAACTCAGAAGTCCAGTCTCCTTTCCTTCTCATGAGTTCACACAAATGTTCCCATGCTTTACATCAGTATTTTTCAAAGTGTGTTACACTGAATTTATGCACAGCACAGTTTCTTGATTAAGAATTTAGGGAACTACTGAGTTAAACAAAGTTAAGTAGGCTTTTTTTTTTTTTAACCGCAGGATTTCTCTAAGCTATTAATAATTCCCACGAGGGGAATATAGTATCACAGCACATAGTATCCCTCCTCAACCTTGTTGTCTGTCACTATATCATTTACATGGGATTGCAGTCTCTTCAG